CAGGGAACCCCTCCCGCTGGCCGCGGGCCGTCTTTGGACCCCAGGGAGGGCTGGATCCCGCGTGAGCCGGGCCTGGCCTGCAGCCAGCGGTGTCTGGAGCCTTAATGAAAACCAAGTGTGAGGCCGGCTCAGCACCTGTCTCCATCCAGCCCGCAGGCAGGAGCTGGAGCACCAATTAGCCAGCGGGGCTCCGCTGGCCCCAGGCTGGTGGGGGGAGGCAGATGGAGGCCCGCGGGGGAGGGGCGAGATGGGCGGGGAGGGCAGGCAGGCAGCTGGGGAGATGGGGGCGCCAGCTCCCATTCCCGGGGTGCAGGGCTGTCCTGTCCAGGGCAGAGGCGTCCTTGGGGTGCCAGGGTGCCGTTGGCTCAGCGCCTGAAACCGGCAGGTGCCTGAGCGCATGGGAGGGAGGGTTTGGTGGAGGAGAGGGTGGCGGAGAGGGGGGCGGTTCGGAGGAGCTGGGTCAGGACTGTGGGGTTGGGGGACCTTATGCCTCTTCCCCTGGAACTAGCCCAGTGCCGGATGTGCTCTGGGTCTGGGGGCGAGTGTGCTGGGAGCCCTTGCGTCCCAGGGTGGGGGCATCCAGGGACCCACCCCATAGGAGGTCATTCTCACTTGGCCGGCCGGCACCGATCAGGTAAGACCCAAGGTGCTCTCGCTGGGCCGGGCGACAGGCCAAGTCCAGGCCGCAGCCCCCTTCCCCCTGCTTTTCTCCACAGGTGTCCCCAGGGCGCTCGGGTGTCGGAGGCGAAGCAGCACATGACCCCAAGTGCCCTCAGGCCGGGGGATGCAGGCTTCGCACACACACCACCGCCACTGTGTCGCCCGTGGCAGGCATCTCTAGTCACTCCCCGAGCCCCACCCCCAGGCCCCCGGGCAGCCACCACTAACCGATCCCAGATAACCCCGTGGCCCTGGCCCTGGGTGGGCCCTGAGGGCTTTGCCCCCAGGTGGACCCTGGTCAGCTGACGGAGGAGCTGGGCCTGGCCTGGGGTGACGGTGGCCTTGCTTCCCAGGATGGACCGCGGACGGCGGCCTTCACGCTGGGCCTGGTCCCTGCTGGCTGTGGCACTCGTGGCTGGGGGCGTGGCGTCCACTGGGGCCACGGTGAGTGGGGAGCATGGTCCCTCACCCCGATGGGAGGATGTCACAGGGGCTGTGTGGCCAGTGTCCCGGGCTGCCTTCCCACAGCCCCCTCCTGCCAGGAACACGTGTCAGACTGGCCCCTGAGTGGGGGCCCTGGCCACTCGGAGCCCTGGCCACCCAGCAGGATGGGCCGAGGGCTGACCGCCTCCCTCAGAGTGATGTCCAGGAGGCGCGTAGAGGGGGGGCGTGTCCTGCAGAACTCGGGCTGGGCCCCGGGCTGCTCAGGAGAGAGAAGTCGGGAGGTTAGGTAGGTCCCCGGGACCCCAGGATGTTCCAGATCTCAACATGGGAAGGACTCGGGGCCCCCAACTCCCTGGGATCCCCTCTGGGACCACCGCTGACCCCTGAGCCCAGGCTGCCAAGTGGCCGTGCTGTCCAGGGCCCAGGGCGGCGGCCGGTCCCGCTGGCGCTCTAGCCCCTAACCTGCGGGTCTCTCAGCAGGACAACAACCCCGTGTCCAACAGCCTGGAGGCGGGCGCGGACGCCACTGCCTCCTGGTGGGGGGAGTGGACCAAGTGGACAGCGTGTTCCCGCAGCTGTGGGACCGGGGTGACGTCCCGGGAGCGGCACTGCCTCCAGCAGAG